CACAAGTTTATTTGGTAGTCTGGTCCTAGCCTCGTTACTACTTCGCCGAGGTTAGGCTAGACACTTACCAGAACATGGGGTCGATTGTGCTGATCTACACTCTGCACTGTGTGCAGATCCAGGAGCAGCTTTCGGACAGTAGTTGGAGGGCTTCCTTCAGTCCACTCTAGGACCCAAGGTAGACCTGCAGGCGTCCGCAGGGTCTGGCGTCTCCCTCTATCTCTAATTTTTGTTTCATTTCCTTTGTTCTGAAACAATGTATTGTATTTTTTTTCCTTTGTGCTGAAACAATGTATTGTATTTTCTTTAGACCTGTATGTAGTAACTCTTAGACGACACTGTGACACTATGACACCAGATTTTGGGTATTGGAGGTTTTAAAGGTTGTAATAGACATAGGCTTAAGATATATAATTGTTGACTTCCGCTTATTTATTTAAAATTCCGTTTTTATCATATCATCGGCTTGTTTTTGTTAAAAAGGCAAAAATGAAAGTGTAACAAGTAGTTAAGGTTTGGCTTGCCTAACTCCCATTAGTAGGCATCATCACGACTCCCGATGGTGAAAAATCTGAATCGTGACAATATAGGATCTTTATCAATAACATTATTATTTGTAGTAACTTTATATATTTTTTTATATCTAGTTACACTAAGATACCTAAGTCCATACAAAAATTAATTATATTGTTAGTCTGGTTAAATCAGTATTAGTTGTAAGTTCTAATTTTATTAAAAATATTGAATTATATCTAATTAATGTGCAAATAACTAACTATTGAGAATTAAACAACACTAATATTATACCAATTGCATTGTATAACAAATTTTATTTATATATATATATATATACCTAGCATGGAAATTGCTAAATTTCACAGATGCGTGCATAATGATTATTGTGCGACCACAGTTTACTCTTTAATCAATTATCTTCATGTTCTGCAAAACCTAGATATGGAAAAGCAATCACCACAATTGCAGATCACGAAAAGTAGAGGGCACGAAAGACTAATTTAGCATCATTTTATATACCATAAGTACACTTAGCACAAGAGCACATGCTTAACAAACATCCTTTTATATACCATAAGTACACTGTCTAGTGGAACCATCCATATTTAAATATTATATACACCATACACCAAAAGAGTACATATATAGTTTGTATCTTCAGTACAACATGTGCTGGAGCTATGCTCCCAACCATAGTAGCCAACTTTTTCAAACTTTTTCCATTCCAAAAATCACAACATAGGGAGATTCTGCGGCTCCTGCAGAAAAAGCAGGTAAACTCCAATGAAGAAAAGAAAAGGAATCGAGTATAGTGCAAAAATAAATATTAGTGAGTGATAAAGTAGAATGGCAAACATAATACTTATCATAAAAAATTACATGTAATTACAAATATAAGTTACTTGATCGTGTGAATATTCTTACAGTACAATTAGGGTATAGAACTTAAGTTCCTCTACAAAGTAATACTGTAGTATTAATAATAACATATGCAAAAACATAATTAAATCTGTAAATCTGTCATTCAACTGTTCTCCCTATACCTTCATAACACTATAAGTACGAACTTCAGTGTGTGTATGTATATACAGGGGAGATTTGTAGCATATAGTCAACTACCACCCTTTTTTTTCTCCCCCAAAAAGAGCCATGCTCATATCCAAAGTCCAAAGAAAAATCACAACATTAAGAAAGAAAATCAAGAAAGGGTAGACTCGATTGCACTTATTACAAAATAAAGCTATGGGTGGTTTATGGTGAAGCGACTGGGTAAAGGCAACAAACAATATATGGGCAAAAATATATTGTCAAGTTTCATGATGTCCATGTCCTTGTTCAATCAAAGATAATAATCAAAACAACAATACTATGTTCATAGAGACCAAAATATGAAGTCCATTAATACTCTATGTCATAGCTAGAACACATTAGAAATATATGAAGAAATATAGCGGGAAAATTCCACATAAAAGTATTTAGGCTAGGGCAGAAGACATTGATGAGAATTTCAACAGAAATAATATCATATTGCTAATTGACTACTTGTTGATAGTTTCAAATTAAGCAAATATTTTCTTGTAGAAATTAGTTGTCTTTGCCTTACAGTGGCAGATATTTTTTTTATATTTTCGGTTAATTAAGGTTATGATGCTTAATTCATCCCATTAGTTATTAATGGGATATTCAACGTAGTAAGGTGCGGATATTCAACATAAAATTAAGCAAATAATTCATCCCATTAGTTATTAACAATATATGTCCATGTCTCAACTCATCTTTCATTCTCAATTCTTCAAACCACAAAAAAAATAATGAAAGATTCCCTTCCAATATGAAGGTTGCTCATTATGATAACTTTTGACTTTCATAAAGTTTTATAACAGTTGATGTTGTGACAACTAAATTTTGGACCTTTTATATATAGTATAACAATGTGGAATATCAAGAATAATTTATGTTTTTCTTTTTTAATTATGTTTTATTATAGTTCTCAGTTTTGTTGATCTATGGATTTAGATCAAACCTATTTTAATTTCTTATATTCTATATGTAATTTATCTTAAAGTTAGTTTTGATTGAGATATATTGGAATTAGAAATCTCAAATGTAGTAATCTAGATGAAAGGAGAGAAATGGAGCTTGAGTTTGAGAGTTCATGTACTTCATCATATATATATTCATCATCTTTTAAGTAAATCATATATATATTCATCATCTTTTATTTACTTAAAGTAGCATTGCGTATTGTTTTGTTAAATTTTAAAGCCACAATGCAAGTAGAGTAATTTAGATAGCACTAATTGCTGAGCCTTTTATTTGGTAAAACAAAATACATACTAAAATATATGATCTTTGGGATGGAAAAATAATAATAAAAAGAAAAATCAATCCTTGATATCTTAAGATTGTTTCCTATTAAGAGTAGCGAAAGAGAAAAAGATTGTGATTGAAACAAAATATCCCAAGTTTATTCTCCCCCTCTTCACATTGACCTATTTTATCTAATATTGTTTTGTGCGCTTGTGTGGAGCTATGTCTCTTATTTAGAGCCAGGAAAGCAGAGACGAACATCAAATTTAAATTGATGTAAATATCTACTAAGGTTAACTAATCTGATGTGGTTAAAGCAAAATTGGTTTGAAGTGACTTTAAAAAATGGTGCATGTTTTACCTGTATTTGTGGAACATTGAGGCAGTCAAAAACTTTCACAACCAGCACAATCGTCTTCCCTAGTTTTTAATATTCGATTACCACCACGACTAAATTCCTTTGTAGGAAAGGTGGAGTGAGACTGTACCATTCATGTAAGAGCCCAAAAAAGGTTTTCTTTTCAGTAGCAAAAGATCCCAAAAAAGGTTAATACTTCCTACAGTTTGAAAGCATAAATTATTGCATAAAAAAGACAATCCGAATTGTAATAAAGAAATAAACAAATCGAACTGCATTATATTATAATTATATCGATTCAAAAGTCAGAGAAAAGAAGCAAATCTCAACTATAAATACTTAAAAAGACTCACCTTTTACACTTTTTTATGGTGTTGGTGGTTATAGTTTCAGCCCTGCGCTTGAATATTTAGTGATCACATCTGCTGTTTCCATTTCTATCTCATCTGTACATAGAGGCTTTATCTTTTTTTGGCTTCTCTCACTAATTATTGGTGCAAAGATATGCTCCTTTTCCACGAATGACAAAACCGATAGACTTGTACGCACAAAGTCAAGAACTTTTCCAAGATGATTTTCTTAATTGGATTCGGAAAATTCTGTCTGAAAATGTGTCCAGGACATGGTACAAGAGTTGTTTCTGCAATGATGAAAGTCAACATATCAGGTACTCTTTTCCAATTGAGGTGAAAACAGAATACAAAGTGCCCCTCATTGGAATCAAAAGTAGGGAAAACTATAATCAAATAGTTTCCTTTACAACATGGGTATTTATATGAGCTTTATTCGTATGATACCTCCATAGAAACAAAAAGATAAAGAAAAAAAAAGACAACCATTCCTTCCGACAACCAATCTAGAGTTTCGGTTAATGCATCTTTTTGAGCTCTGCCTCTTGTTTAAGCAAGACTCAACAGTTGCTCAAATTTGATTCTTATTAAGTTCCAAGTGCTGCAAGTTGGTATTGCACACCGAGCTCGACTTGAATAATATCTTGGAATGTGCAGTAATAAAAATAAATAATTTGTCTAAGTTTATACCTTGACACAGGTTGTGTCAAATATGTCTTCTGCTGTCATTGAGAGCATCTTTTCAGCGACATCACCAGAAATTATTGCAGCTGTTGAACCGCTACCATCAATAAGATCAATCTGGAACATACATCTACAATCAAAGAAGGTTTACATGTTGCAAAGGTGGTTTAATACATGTAAGAAAATAATATATTTTGCTAAAATGACACTTATAAATATGGCAAAACGATAATACCGAGGAACTAAAGTTGTCCGTTGTTTACACTTGGTGCAGTCAAAATCTCTTCTTTCCTTTGTTCGCAACTTTTATTTGCAACCCGAGCATTCAAGCACACAAAACTTCTGCAAGTCACTTGATATTGATATTTCGGCCTCAACATAAAAAATCCCAGTTTGCCAACCAAAAGAAAATCACATGTTCATCCGGATTTTATAAGTAAACTACCACACATTTAGATATCTACATACTTACGGAAGTTTGTGACTGAATTTCTGCAATGGGAATAATTTGTTGTTGGGTAGGAATCACCATGAGAGAGGTGGATGACCTTGGTGACCTTGAGAAGTTGTCTGATGCACAACCGCCGAGCATGTCGTTGTTTTCTTTTGCCCTATCGTCACAACATATAAGAAATTCAATAAGTTGTACACGTATATGATGAAGTCAGACAATAACATTAAAGATCCTATACCACTTGATCAACTGCAATGCTTGAGGATAAGCAGGATCTATTTGTATTGTTGAGTTGAATCTAGTTTGCAANATATATATATATATATATAAAGGAAGATATTTGGGCACACTGATACCGTTATACGGAGATATTCCGATACTCCTCCCAAGGATTACCGGATATCTTTCATCGCCGTTCACTTTCGACTCGATTTTTTGCTGGATTTTGGTTCCTTCAACTTCTGAGAAGTCCTCCCATAAGGTTAGTAGAAGTCGTTTTTTCTTGAAAAATGCAGGGAGTGTATAAATAAATTAGCGAATATAATCTATTTATAAGGATACATGTACGTTTTTGAAAAATCAAATTGCAATTAGCCGTAATATAGTGTACTTACTGATTGTCGGTGACAATAATCTCGCGACACCTATTTGGAACTCGACCTGCATATTTTGGAGGGCCACAATGGACAACGACTGCTAGTATATCTGCTAATAAAAGGTTTTTTCAGAGAATATTTTTGAAAAAAATGAAGTATAATGAGGTGTGTATAAAAATATTTTTGTAAAAAATGAAGTATAATGAGGTGTGTATATTATGTAGAATCATATATATTTCATCAACTAATGTTGGGTAGAAGTCACTTACCAATTTCTGTAGCAGGATCAGGGGTTATATGAGCAATATGGTCAAAATCAGTGAGATTCGGCTTGCGGGGTGGTGGCTTTGGTATCTCTCTCTCACCATTTTTTTCGACCAGTTCTACTATAGTTTCTTTGTCAAGCACCCAATAAAATTTATGTAAGGGTCTTCCATACTGTGTGGATGAAATTTTAACTCTTGCAGTGGAGATGAGATATGTGTGGAAGAGCTTAAGCTTGTCTGCATAATATTGAATGTCATCTCCCCACACGACTCCTCTAATTTGTTGTTCCTGTAAAGTGTCACTTTGTCGTAGAAGCAGTTAGAATATTATAATTATAAGAAGTTGATTATATTATATAAAAGATAGACAAAATTACCTCTTCATCTTCTAGAATCAGATTCTGATATCTAAATTTTTTCTCAGTTTCTCTTTCTCGACCTATTTCCACAATTTGGACTTTACATGTCCAATCGGGTGTATCAGGTGTTATTTGATTGATATTTCCTCTTAATGCCATGATATCTTGGTAACAACGACAAAATTCATCAGAAAATCATAAGAATTGCAAAAATGTGGAACATCAAGTAAAATTTTTAGCAAGTTATTATTCAAAAAGAACAAAAAATCTGACTACAAATAAAAGTGCAATGGAAAATAGAAATTGCACAAATAACTCAAAAAACAGATAGCTCAAGTTAACATACGGTCAAGTACATAAACAACTACACCTCCATGTCTTTTGAGTGCATAAATTAAAAAAGAAAAAAGAAGATAAAAAGAAGAAGTCCACATACACTACAATAGTAACAGAACAAACAACCAAATACATATATCAAGTCAAAATAGCAAAACACAAAATCAACTCTAGAAATTAACTTCTTTATTTGCATTTTGGGAAGGCAGTGAAATACTCTCAGTCTAAGACAAAAGGTCTAACACTTTTCTTTAAACAAACTATAACTATCTCCTTTTCCGCTACTTTTATGTAATTTAACTGGGAAGTAGGCAATTTTCACTATGGAGTTTAGTCCAACTAATCTCAAGATTAGAAGTTGTTGTACAATGTAAATAATCCTATGCAAAAGGGAAGCACATAATAGAAACTCATTAAAAGTCAAAGCGAAGAAGTTCAACCAACCTCATTACAGAAGTTATAAAAAAAATCAGAACAGTAGAAAACCTTGGAAAGTCCCAAAGACTCTTTAAAAGGATCAGTTCAAAGACCAAGAACAACCGAAATCCTAATTTCTGCTAAAACCCCTCTGCAAGAGGAAAACAGTAGTGAGATGCAACCAACAAAGATAAAAAGTAAGAAAAAGAGATGGGACAAATTACGAAAGAGGCAACACTATACACTACTACACTTAGATGGCCAAGTTCATATACAATAACATTTTCCTGTCCCTTGAGTGCGTAAATTAGAAAAAAAAATAAAGAAAGAAGGAAAAAAGAAGAAAGAAGAACGCAGGAAACCTGTAAGAATTCTCCTAAAAAATGAGGTAACAATTCTCAAGAGAAGCACATAGTACAAACATTAAAAGAATCAGAACAGAAATAAAATTAGCAACAAAGACAGTAAGCTCATTAGAACCACACATGCAACAACTTCTATGTACATGTGCTTTCAACTTCTCAAATGGCAAATAATCCACAATTTTAATTATTTTATTACTTGAATATTTGGATATGAACGCAGGAAAAAAAGAATAATAAAAGAATCAAACAAACATCAGGAAACCCTGAAAAGTCCTAAGATACTTCAAAAACATTAGTTCAAAGATCAAGAACTATGAAATTCCAAAATTATGCCCAAAATAAAAAAGAATAGTTACGAGAAGCAGCCAACAGAGACGAAAAGTGGGAAAAAATAAGTGACAGAAAGAAAAAAGGGAAACAAAATAAACAATAAGATCAACTAGTAAGGGAAATTAGTATTACACCCTTTTGCAAACAGGAATTTGACCCTTTAAATGCGAAAAAGTTGATTTGAGCTTCATTCACGAATTAGAATCTTGTAGAGTAAAAAAATAAATCCTAATCATGCACCTAGGTATCAATTTCCAAACATGCAAATTAAACAATAAATATGAACATGCAAGTTGAAAATCCAACATTAAATAACCCAGGAAAAAGTTTGAACATATACTCACCAAAGAGAAAGATTGTGAAATAAAAGAAAATATAAAAACCTAATTTTTAGAGATCAAAGTCTTAGATTCATAAATAAAATTACCTATGCAAACCCAAAAATTGACATAGAGCAGAACACCATCACAACCACCATACAAAAATTAAAGAGATCTGACATTGAAAGAATAAAGGAGAAAGGGGAATTTTATCACTATCAATAGAAATACCATAGTGATCAATACTGAAAGAGTAAAAAATAGAAGGAAGGCTGAGAAACTCGCGGAAGAGAAGCACACTTCGAAATCACAGAAGAGAGCAAGAAGCTGACTCAAACTGAGAATGGTTGCTATCAGGAGAGACACCAATTTTTTTGCTTTGTATTATTAGCTTTTAGAATTTAGAGTTAGATAATATATATGAAGTGGGTTACATGTGGTTTGCTGGCAAAGACAATTAGGTCCACGTGTTAAGTGTCCAAGAAAATACTCCCTCCGTTTTATCAATTTTGTGAACCCATTTGACTGGGCACAAAATTTAGGAAGAGATAAGACTTTTGAATTTGTAGTGTAAAATGAGGCACATATAAGGCACATATATTTTGTGTGGCTATAAATCATTGCATAAAGGTAAATTATTTCCAAATAAGGAAAGGGGTCATTCTTTTTGGCACGGATCAAAAATGAAATAAATTCATATAAATTGAAACGGAGGGAGTATATATTAGCAAATATAGTATAATTTTTAGTGCTTTCAGTACAACTAATACAGCACTGTTCGTCCACCCTTAGCCTCTTATATATATTAGAAACCACCATACAAAAATTAAAGAGATCCGACATTGAAAGAATAAAGGAGAAAGGGGAATTTTATTACTATCAATAGAAATACCATAGTGATCAATACTGAAAGAGTAAAAAATAGAAGGAAGGCTGAGAAACTCACGGAAGAGAAGCACACTTCGAAATCACAGAAGAGAGCAAGAAGCTGACATATATTGTTAATATCATAGCNCTTTTTCCATATGCCATATACATATACATACATATATATGCGTATATAACATCATATGGTCATGGGTCAATGCACATAAATGCAATGCATGAAAAGTACGTTAATAAAATCTTCGGAGCTTCATAAGACCATTTCGCCTTTGAGTAATATCATAAAATAAACTCTTTTCAACTTTCATATTTTTCTGAGACCCATGAACATATGATAAAATATTATAACACACGTAAATTCAAGAACATAAATATCTCTAATACGTCTATGAATAGAGTCATTCATGAAATTTGTGCATTTGCACGTTTCGTTCAGTATAATTTGGACCATGCCAAAAGAAAGAAGGGATAGCCTTAACATACCTGGAATAAGGAAAAATCCGTGTGATACTTTTGAGAAGGATTGCACCGTACTTGCAAAATCTTATGTTGCTTAAGATGCTACGAAATCTCGGTTTGAATTATTGAATATCCGCACCTTACTACGTTGCTTCAGATTGCGTTGCTATTCTTTAATATTGAAAGATGAGTATAGGGTAAAATAGGAAAAACTGAAAGACCAAAACACTTATTTGAGATTTGGAACTAGACATCTCTCATTCAACCAGCATAATTGGGATGTATGATGGAATTCTTCTACAACAGCATATCCATCACTTATAATGACTATATCACATTTTGATAGGATATTGACCAAAATAGTCTACAGATGTGCCATGAAGATTATAATGCAAGGTGAAATATGATGCCATTAAACATTACAAGTCACCTCAGGTACCATGCGTCATTCTCAAAACTGCCAAACTATTCTTATGTAGAGCAAAAATTTATGCAACTGTAAAATATTTATATGTTTCATTCTGCAAGTCCTTCTCAAGTGTGGTCCTCCACTTCAGCAACTATTAAGATGTGAAACATCATATGGCAACAGAAAAATGACAACACTATCAACTATTAAGATGTGAAACATCATATGGCAGATATTTTTCTTGTAGATATTTTTTCATGATCTCCATGTCTCAACCTGTAAGTCTGATTAACAATATATATCTCATATACATATATATACATACATATATACGCATATATAACATCGTCTGAATCATATTTACATATATACGCATATATAACACCGTTTGAATCATATTTCAGTCACTGTGAGCAACATCATCATCATATACCAGCTGATTAGGTGGTGGTGCGTATATAACGTTGTAACCCTTTCTCATATCCCATATACATATACATACATATATATGCGTATATAACGTCATCTGGTCATGGATCAATGCACATGAATGCAATGCATGAAAAGTACATTAATAAAATCTTCGGAGCTTCATAAGACCATTTCGCCTTTGAGTAATATCATAAAATAAACTCTTTTCAACTTTCATATTTTTCTGAGACCCATGAACATATGATAAAATATTATGACACACGTAAATTCAAGAACATAAATATCTCTAATACTTCTATGAATAGAGTCATTCATGAAATTTGTGCATTTGCACGTTTCGTTCAGTATAATTTGGACCATGCCAAAAGAAAGAAGGGATAGCCTTAACATACCTGGAATAAGGAAAAATCCGTGTGATACTTTTGAGAAGGATTGCACCGTACTTGCAAAATCTTATGTTGCTTAAGATGCTACGAAATCTCGGTTTGAATTATTGAATATCCGCACCTTACTACGTTGCTTCAGATTGCGTTGCTATTCTTTAATATTGAAAGATGAGTATAGGGTAAAATAGGAAAAACTGAAAGACCAAAACACTTATTTGAGATTTGGAACTAGACATCTCTCATTCAACCAGCATAATTGGGATGTATGATGGAATTCTTCTACAACAGCATATCCATCACTTATAATGACTATATCACATTTTGATAGGATATTGACCAAAATAGTCTACAGATGTGCCATGAAGATTATAATGCAAGGTGAAATATGATGCCATTAAACATTACAAGTCACCTCAGGTACCATGCGTCATTCTCAAAACTGCCAAACTATTCTTATGTAGAGCAAAAATTTATGCAACTGTAAAATATTTATATGTTTCATTCTGCAAGTCCTTCTCAAGTGTGGTCCTCCACTTCAGCAACTATTAAGATGTGAAACATCATATGGCAACAGAAAAATGACAACACTAGTCCCTTATGTTGGAAGGCAAGTATCATTTGGTTGCCACCTAATATAATATGACTTAAGAGTCATTCACATGATTTAAGGGGTGCTGCCACGTGGGGGAGAGGTGGAAAATGTTAATCTTTATCCATTTATTGGATAATAGGTAGTGTCCCGCTATCCGGTAATTAATCAATTACCTGCAAAATTGAGAATTATCTCACTTACTTAAAATATTACTCAATTTTTGCATACCTGATACACCTTACTATTATGGTCATGTGGTATCTTGTATGGTACTAGTCCATAAATACCGAGTATTTTAGCTCGAGTCGTATTTTATCCCAACATGCCAAACTTCGACAAAAATTCGTTTTCTTCGATATTACTTACCCTCTTACCTTCACGAATTTACTCATCACTTATAATCCTTATAATCCCCAAATAATCTTTTCCTTGGACTGATGTCAATTACCTTACGACAAATTCAACGTACATTACTGCAGGGTGCAACATTGTCGTAACTTATTACTGCGAAGCGTAACATCACCGTAATGTAATACTGCTAGGTACAACACTGTCGTAACTTAATACTGCAGGATGCAACATCAATCGTAATATATTACTGCAGAGGGTAACATCATCGTAATATATTCTTGCAGAGCATAACATTGTCATAATATAATACTGCCGAACATAATATCGACGTAATATTGCGGGGCGTAACATTATTCCCCCCTTTGGAACATTCGTCCTCGAATATTGACTGATGTTTTTATTATTTTCGTAACTTATAACTCTTGTGAATACCTTAATACTCTTCTTCCCATTTAATCAGTTGCTCTGTGAATAAATCCAAAGTCTAGGGTATTCCCC